AAAAAAAAAAAAAAACCTATCCTAGAACTAAACACACCCACAAACAACTAGAAAAAACGCACTCCCTCCTCAAGAAAACAAGTTATTGTGAACTCCCAAAGCTCTTCCTTCTCCTCGGAGACTCCATTTTCGGCAGAAATGAAGGCGCCGGAGTTCAATTTCAAAGCCATGGCGCGAGAAATCAACGTCGGAGGCCAAATTTGTGTCTGCAATCATCATAGGCATCGCCGGCTGTTTTCTCAAGCGGGTTGTTCAGACATAATGAGAATCTTCGGGTGAAAGATTTTCTTTGATTTTTTTTTTTTCAGCACGATTTGGAGATTTTTATGTTAAGTTTGGCTGGTTCACCTGTATGTTTCCGTATAAAGTGCTACATTAGGCTTAGTTATTTTCGTGGACAATATTTTTGGTCATTTATCCTTATAAAGAATGGTAATTGATCTGGATTCCTTGTTTTGTCGTGGAAAATGTATACAGTTCACCTTCCTCAAGCTGAATAATGAATGTACTTGAGTTTCACCTACAAATATCATGGGGGACTGCCTTTAAGAAACTATTTGTGATTTAGGTGTTATATTATGTGAAGTTAGTTAGTTAAGTAATTGCTATTGGAAGGAGCACAAACAACCTATATTTCTATCATTTTATGCTAATGAGCATTCATTTGCTTTGAGATTATGTGATGCATGTCATTACAATATATTGTGTAGCAGCCCAACGGCTAAGAGGCGGGTGGACCCGTCATACAATCTTTAAAATGCATACTTATGATAAATATCATACTTTTGCTTATGCTGTTTTAAAAACATGCTACTTGTGTATGAAAAGTATGCGTATTTGTTGAAAAATTATGACTACCTAACCGTTAGGCCTAACTGTTAGTAGCCTTACGGGGCATGTCATTTATGAGCCTTTTTATGCTGTTCTCTAGAATATTTTCTGCATCAACGTGTTGGTACTTAATCACCTACCTTAACAGGATGCAATCTTACTATGTTGTGAAGTTTGATAATTATTGTCAATTTCGACATTCTGTAGAACACTGAATGAAGCCTTTCTCTTGTACATTTATGTTATGTATAATTCACCTTAGTTAATATTTACAATTGGTAGTTATAATTTTGATGCTTAAAATGCTAATCCCTATTTATTTCTCTTCTTCTTCTGCTTGGGAAACCTGTATATTCATCAAAATTGCAAAGATGTTCCAACAAAATAGGTGCGGAACACTAATTTTCAACATTCATACTCCTTAACAATCTATTAGTGAAATACACAAGTTTGTTCATGTTCAATTCCTTTAAGCAATGCAGATTTGTAAAAGTAGCTGGACAAGCCTGAAATAAACTACTGTATTTGTTATTTACGATTATATTTTTATGCCTTGTGTTTCTAATTAAGTCATGCGGTGAAAATATTTTTATGTTAATGCTTTCAGACACGTATTATCTTGCGCTGTCTTCACTAGCTATATTATATGTAACTTTTCTCGGTGAGTATTTGTCCTGATGTGTCGCCTTTAATTTCTTGGTGGTTCTGACATCACTGGAGCTTGTCTTGTTTGCATTCGGTGCTCAATGTAATTAACTCTCCACCTTTTCGATCTGTGCCTGTTGGATTTTCTATTTAGAATCTTGTTGTTAAGCTTAATTTGGGCAAAATGCAAGTATAAGATATTGGATTGTGTTGTTTCAATTTGCACATTGTATTTGGTATTTGGTAGGTACCCGGATTAAGCCATGAATAACAGGAAATGTTCTCCATGGAGTCATTTTTAGGACCAAGTGGTCTTTTTGGTGAATGGACGAGGCCAGTGCTGAGGTTAATGTTGTGAGACTGACTGCTATATTTAAATTTCTTTTGTGTGTTAATTTTTCCTATAGAGAGGGCTGTTAATTCTTTGTAATTCTGTCTCATGTTTAAGTCCATTATTGATCATTTAGTCAATCTATTTATTACCAGGCTAATCCGATATTATCATGGATGCAAGTGCAACTCCAAGGTAAAGATTCTGCACATACTAAAACTAAGCCTCTCTTGTTGTTTAAATTTATTTTTCCTTCCGTTTTTGCTCATTGTGTTGTTCTGTTTCAGAATTTTATTTTTGGTGGGGGATGCCCTGAATCACATAAGTGTTGTTCTCTCCAAATTTTGGTGGTACAGTTGTAGTCTGATAGCTTAAATAAAATATAAAAAAAA